TGCGATGGGGCCCCTCCTGCCGCTTCTCTACAACCCTTGGGGAGACCAGGGGGAGAGGGGGGGAGCTGGTGTGCACCAGGTGGTGAAAGGCAGCCTCCACCCATTACTGGCAGGCTTGCAGCAGCTAGTCCAAAAACTGGAGCATTATGCCCAGGGTGAGCTCTGGCTCCATGTTACCAACTGAGGTGGTGGCCCCAATGGGAAACACTGACACAGGCAGGCGGAGAGAAAAACGCTTTGCTGTCCCTCGGCGAGGTAGGCAAGCAAGCGGAAAAGCTGAGAACCGGCTGTCCAGGGGGGTTCCTTTAAGCACGAGCCTCAGATAGCATCAAACAGCAGCCACACAAAGCAACTACAGACCTAATGCACTGCCGGAACCGGTTTCAGCCGCCCTTAAGTGCACCCCAGCGTCCAATCAGTGTGGACGCACTAGTTCGAATTAGCAAAACGCTAATTCGAATTAGTTTTTAAGTCTAGATGCGCTAATTCGAATTAGCTTAGTTCAAATTAACTAATTGGAACTAAGTTAGTTCGAAATAGTGCTGTAGTGTAGACATACCCTATGATTCTTCCTCTCCTTGGTTTGTGGCTTCGCTTCCTCCTGAGAGGATCAAGTTAACATAAAATTGAGAAAATCTGCATGAGCAACTAGCAGAACCTCAAACCTGGCAAAGAGCCCATCAAGTGGTAATGAAGCCATTACATAGAAATGTGCCAGTTTCTGCATTTACTGTGATAGTCCATAGGACCTTACTTTAAAATTTGCTTGAAAAATTTTAAGTGAGTGGACTGCTGAATGTGATAAAACACACTCTAAAAAAGACCCCTCCTGATCTGCCATTGGCTTCCATTTAATACGACTGTGTAAAGTCCCAAGGATGTTGCTGAGTGGTGGAGAGAAGAACAGATCCTAAATCTCTGGACAGGCAGGGAGCTGCACAGGCAGGAAGAGTCAGAGACAATCACAGAGCAGAGAGGTCGCTAGTGGTTTACAAATCAATCGGTTCACTGAGATGGAAGTGGGATCCTGTCTCATAAATCAGTACAAAGGCAGTGGGACGTCCGTGCGGTGCTGCCGTAAAATATGATCAATGAGCTGCCATGTGGGATACTGAATCACTGGGTCTCACATTTCCCCGGAAAGAGGTTTTCACGCACTTTTGACATTATAGCATTTTGGTTTCATGCCCGTGTCCAGAGTCTGCAGTTCGTAGAAAGAGGGAATCTGTCCCTACTACAGCTGTAGCATTGGCACCATGCTTTGCTCCAGCCTTCACACGGCATTCGATTCAGCCATATACTGAGCCCGATCCTCAGATGGGGTAAACAGATGCAGCTGCATGGAGTGAACAGGAGCCAGGCCAAATGGCCCCCGAGTGGTAACTCACCGCTCCTGAGGAGTAAACAGGACAGGCGTTGTGCATCATGGACGCCCACTGCATGAGAGGTTGCTGCGGGGAGCCAGGGCCATTCCATGTATCCCTGTAATCCCCGCCTCTATCTGTGTCCCTCCCTCCGCAGACAGCACACTGTGAACTGAGGAAGAAAATGTCCAACCGAACCACAGTGACCGAGTTCCTGCTCCTGGGCTTCTCTGATATTCGGGAGCTGCAGATTCTGCACTTTGTGGTGTTCCTGATGCTTTACCTGGCAACTCTGATGGGGAATCTTCTCATTGTCTATGCCATCATTCTGGACCACCGTCTGCACAGTCCAATGTACTTCTTCCTGGGGAACCTTTCCATTATTGACCTTGGCTCTATCTCCGTCATTATCCCCAAATCTATGGCCAACTCCCTCCTGAACACCAACGTGATTTCTTATGCTGGGTGTGTTGCCCAAGTCTTTCTCTATTTCACCTTTGGAGCAACTGATCTTGCCTTACTCACTGTCATGGCCTATGACCGACACGTCGCCATCTGCCAGCCCCTGCACTATGAGAGAGTGATGAACAGGAGAGCCTGTGTCTACATGGCAACCAGTGCCTGGATTGCTGGTGCTGTCTACTCTGCCCTGCACACTGGGAACACCTTCATATTACCCTTCTGCCAGTCCAACGACATCAATCAGTTCTTCTGTGAAATCCCCCAGCTCCTCAAGCTGGCCTGCTCTGACTCCTACCGCAGTGAAGTTGGCGTCCTTGCCTTTAGTGTGGTTTTATTTTTGAATTGCTTTGCTTTTATCCTTGTGTCTTACGTTCAGATCTTCAAAGCAGTGCTGAGAATCCCGTCAAAGCAGGGCCGGCAGAAAGCCTTCTCCACCTGCCTCCCCCACCTCGCTGTGATCTCCTTGTTCCTTTGCACTGGGTTCTTTGCCTACCTGAAACCCACTTCTAACTCAGGAACAAATCTGGATCTGGCGGTGGGTGTTCTCTATGCCGTGGTGCCTCCAATGATGAACCCGGTCATCTACAGCATGAGGAACAAGGAGCTCAAAACTGCATTGAAGAAACTTTTTGTGTGTAGAATATTCTCCAAGAATTAACATGACATCGGTCATAGGCTCTGCATTTCCGTTTTGCATGTTGTTATAAATGTAATCAACTGATGAAAAAGTTTTGTCATTGAGTACACAGGCCGTGATCTTTTATGACGTTCTCAAATCAATGTTAACTCAGCTGACATTAACTGAGTTAATTACAACATTACACCTATATACATTAAATTAAAGTCAAGGTATGACCCTGTGTCTACTTCCACACCTCGCTATACGTCGTATTCAGGTCTACACTGCAGGGTTATTTTGGAAGAAGTTATTTTCCAAAATGTCGTATTTCGAAATGGCACGTCTAAACAGCACATGCCCATCAAAACAGTGTGGAACTCTTTCGAAATAGAGCCTCCACACTCGTTTTATACTGAATTGCATTTAAAGCCACTGGGAAGCACTTCAGGCAGGGAATCAGGGCATCTGATGCTCTAGCCTAAAGGGACCCCACTGTACCACCATGTCTCATGTTCTTCTCCATTGCCTACCTCAGTGATGGACAATGAAGCCTTTCCTCTGCCTGCAGTGGTTTCCCTTCAAGACACTTGAGCCCTCTAGCCACGGAGTTGGACCTTCCACCCAGCAGTCAACAGCTCTCATCTGTCTTGGTGCCCCTCCTGCTGCAATTTCTGCAGGCTGCCTTCATGGCCATGCAGAAGGACCTTTAGCTCATGGTGGGGAAACTCCTCACCCCTCTCCAGGTGCTCACTCCCTTGCACACCATGCACTACCATTTCTGGTGACGGGAAACCAGCTCCAACCGGTGGGACATGCCACAAGGCCTTTCCCTTTTGCCTGCCACTTTAAGGACTGTAGGGGAAGGGAAGCTAGAGAGTTTGGGTGAGTGTGCACAGAGAGGCCAACCCTGTGGGTTTTCCTGGAGGCCTCATATTTCTACATAACTCCAGCTGCCCCATCTTCACACACCCCATTCTAAACTAGCTATTTCTGTATTATTCCTTGTAGAATGAGGGATACAGCACTTGGAATAAGACGTCCGTAATTTTGATATTATTTCAAAGTAGTGGGCTTGCTGTGTAGATACCCGCATCATTATTTTGAAAAAAATCCGGTATTCTTTAATAATGTCGCTGTGTAGACGTGCACTTAGGGGATTATACTGTGAACTTTGCCGTGCTATCTGATCTACTGACAGCAAAGTTACAGGTGGATTTCATGAAGACTCTGATTCCCAATGAATCCATTAATGAAACAACATTAAAAATAAACAGTCAAGGAAACGCACTCTCATATTCCAACCCCCAAAAGGAGAAGAGGCAATCTGAATGGTTTTTGGCTGTGCATGCAACTAAAGCTCTCCCCTTTCTCCTCTGTTAAGCTATGCCTACACAACACTTTTTTCGGAAAAAGGTATGGAAATTGACGGGGGGCTTGGTTACTCTCGAATACTGGACAGTCTGAGCTCCCCTTGTACAGTTCAATAGGTACAAACATTGTGGCTAGGCACAGTGAGATCAATATAAAAGATCTTTACACCAGTATAGAGTTGGGAATAACCTACATCAATGTCAGAAACTATTGGCAGTATTATGAGGCTAACTCTACATGCACTAGAGATTGTGATGGGACAACAATTGAGGCAGGACGAAATACAGAAATGCATCTGAGCCCAAACCAGTTCTGTAAGTACAAAGATCTGCTTGGAGACCAGCTCATTAAATGTTAGGAAACACCAGCATGAAGATTACTTGTACAACCTCAGCACAGCCCCCTCTGCATGTGTGTTATGATGCACGTGCACAAGAGTGGCTTTGTGGTCAATGTGCTTCCCCTCACTGCATCCATTTCCTTCAAACTACCCAGGGAAGTGCTGGTTTCTCCATCTCTTGATGTCCTCCAATGGACACTAGGTGCCTTTCTGGAGTGTGCTGTGGTCCAGAGCTCACTGCTGTGTTGGATAAGTGGCTTGCAATGGACAGATTAACAGAAGAAATGGCTTCTTCCCACCTTAAGGTCTCCAAATCTCTGCCAAACTCAGTGTAGCACATTGAGATGCCTACGATGTTCCCATGTGTAAATGGCTTGATCCCCAGAACTGACACTGAGTGAATGGGGGTGATACAGAGGGATCAGTTCAAACCTTCAAAGGGGCTGGCCAGTGAGGGGACATGAGCCCTGCAGGGCAGAGATGGTTGTGACAGTAAGAGGTTTGCAGCACCTCATCTGATTGGTCAAAGGAGGCTGGGAGGTATTGACCTCATAGAGAATCCATGACAATAGCCAGGTGAGACAGGCCGCAAGGCAGGGGCCATCTCAGAGAGCCCTCTGGCTTTGCTGCAGGGCGTCTCCATCCTGAGATCTCTCCTTGAAGACTGAGAGAGAATTCAGGCTCTTGTATGTGAGCAAGGAGGGGCAGCCTCTTGGAAGTTTTCTTCCTTTCTTCTGTGACGTTATTGGATTGGAATGGGAACATGCAGGGCTTTGCTACAACCACTGTTTTAGGTTTCCAAGAAATTCTGTTCAAAAAGGGGCCAAGTGAGTTTCCTATGAAAAGGTTACAAGAACTCAAGCAATGATGGGTTAATCTTGTAGTAGTAAATATAGGTGTTTCTTAGAGCGGGATCATTTATCAGGATGGTTCAATTGCCCCTATTGCAGAAAACTGACACAGTAGCAGCTCGTTGACTTCAATACTGTCAAATCCCAGTTGAATTGAGACACACGGACTTCAGTGAATTTGCAACTGCTTGGAACCCTTAAGCCAAGGTGTGAGTGGTAGGTCTACACTGAACTAAGGGTAGGTCTACACTGCACTCTAAAATTGAAATAAGATATACAATTTGTGTGATGAAAACGGTGTATCTTAATTCAATTCTTTTTCAGAAAGGCCATTTTGAAATTTGGTGCAACGACACAGTGCCAAATGTAGAAATAAAGCGCTATTTCGAGACATTCCTTATTCCTCGTGGAATGAGGTTTACAAGGATGTCGAAATAGCATGTTCGCTATATTTCGAAATAGCGGATGTGTTCCTTGAATAAGGGTAGCTATTTCATCATACCTCTGGTATCCCAAAATGGCATTTCAATGTAGACATACTCTAAGGGTACGTCTAGACTACATGTCTCTGTCGCCAGAGGCATGTAGATTAGGCTAAGTCAGATAGAGCAACATATGTCTTATACCAATGGGGGAAATGATATTTTGGATATATTCAGTGCGTCTGAGGGTATGTGTATAATACTTGCGTGCACACTGCCATTGAGTTCTTTCAACAGAGAGTCAAAAGAATGGAGAGGTTTTTCCAATGGTGGTAAGCCTCTTTCTATGAGGAAGAAACCTTTTCCAAAAGCTTTTTCGGAAAAAGGTGTGTATGGAAGCAGAAGAGGGAGTTCTTTCGAAAGCAAAGGACTCAAGGAAATAACACAGGTGCCCTGCAGTTCACTCCATCCAGAATAATCACAACTTGAGTGCGAGATAGCATCCTATCAATGTGGACGCTATCTTCCAAGAAAGAACATCGACTTTGATTTGGCAGTGTGATTTGGCAGTGTGGACGCTCTCTTTCAAAATAAGCTTTTCCGGAAGATCTTTTCCAGAAGCTTATGGTCTAGATGTAGCCTCACCTACCTACCACGAAAGTGAATTAATCAGTTTTTGAGTGTCATGCAGCCTAATGAGCCTTTTAGGTCAGTGTTGTCCATGGCAAGAGAAAACACAATAAGGAAGGAAGGAAGGAAGGAAGAAGGGAAGGGAAGGGAAGGGAAGGGAAGGGAAGGGAAGGGAAGGGAAGGGAAGGGAAGGGTGGTTCATCCCACTAGAAATAGAAAATAAGATACAGAAAATTTTAGCTACAATGAAAAGTTTGGTCCCCAGCGAGAATGAATCTCTCCTTAGCCATTTTAAGTTACACTCTACAATTAATCCTATGTGACAAAAAACAAAGAAAATGGGACAGGCTGGGAACTTTTCTCTCCTATCCAGTTCAGTTTCACACGCAAAGAATAGGGATTGGAACCAAAGAATGGGACTCAAAGTAGCTCCCTGGAATCCAAAGGCCCCATGTCCACTTGACAGGATTACTCAGAGTTCAAGGAGACTGCATCAACCAACATCAGTTTAGGACGTTGCACTGAGTTTCTGTCTGTCTGCTTCTTGGTGACGGATATCAAACCCAGGGCAGTCTGAGCTGTGGGATCCCCTGGGCACTGCATCCCAGGAACTGCTGGTGCAACACAGGAGACAAAAAAACCCTCTGCTCCCCCAGAGCGGGGTGTGGGGTTAACAAAGGAGCAGGCTGTCCCAGGCCAGCTGGGGCTCTGGTGCACATCAGCTCTGGGTTGTTCTGTCACATGCCTGCGATAGCCATTAATAGCTTCATCTGCAATCTCCTTCCGACTGCTCCTCAGCCCTGCCTTGTGTGTAGCCAGGCTCCTTCTAGGGACGCTGCCATGGTGTGAGATCTGGGGTGGGGGCTGTTTCCCCTCTAGGGGATCTGGGTCAGCTAGGGCAGGGCGACAGGGCTGGGAGGTGAGATCAGAGCTGGAAGCACAGGCCTGGAGACCGGGTTCAGCTCCTCAGCCCCAAAGGAGAGACATCCTGACTTGTGACCACGTTGGCAGCCTGAACAAGTCGGGGGCAGTTTCTCAGCTGGAAGTGGGTGTCTTCCTGCCTCCCTCCTGTTTAGTCCTTCAGCTGGCCGGAGATGGGAAAATACAAGGGAGGGTATTTGGCACAGACAGGCAATGACGGCAGAAACCCGGCAGTGAAGTGTCTTGTGAAGCATAAGCTGGGAAACATCCCACAACGCTCGGCACAGTAAGTTTGTTTTTTCACTCAAACAGATTTAGGTGTTAATGTTCTGGGTAGATTTTATAGTGGAACTGGGAGTGAGAAGGAGAACTCTTCATGACTTGTTTCACCTCTGTCCTGAAATATTTCCAGGTGCTCTGAGGGTTTTTTTCCTCCTAGCACGCTTGTCATCACGATTTTGAACATCAAACTTTGGGTTTTGTTCATTAAAAACCAGACAATTTCAGGTAAACCACTGGAAATCGACATATTCTCAGCTAAATGGGCTCCACCTAAACCAGGGTGGAACCAGACTGCTGGCACTAAACATTAAAAAAGCCGTAGAGCAGTTTTTAAACTAAGAGATGGAGGAAAGCCGATTGGTGCGGAGATGCATGTTAATCGGAGGGAGACTTCTCTTAGAGGAGAATCCATTGATAGAGATTCTCTAAGCTGTAGTCAGAAAGAGAGGAGGGGAGAGGGCAAACCATGTGCCAGAGCAGACAAAGAACCGCATACAAAGGAATCCAATGCATCAGGGAAGGGCAGTCAAATAAGCAGTGGCAAATTTTTAAAATGCTTCTACACAAATGCTAGGAGTCTGACTAATAAGATGGGTGAACTAGAGTACCTCGTATTAAATGAGGAGATTGACATAATAGGCATCACTGAAACCTGGTGAAATGAGGAAAATCTGTGGGACACAATCATACCGGGATATAAAATATATCGAAAGGATAGAGCAGGCCGGGTGGGTGGCGGAGTGGCGCTGTATGTGAAAGATAATGTAGAATCAAATGAAATAAAAATTTTAAATGAATCAACATGTTCCATAGAATTGCTATGGATAGTAATTCCATGCTGCAATAATAAGAAATTAGCAGTAGGGATATATTACCGACCACCTGACCAGGACAGCGATACTGACATTGAAATGCTGAGGGAGATTAGAGAGGCTACCAAAATAAAGAACTCTATAATAATGGGGGATTTTAATTACCCCCATATTGACTGGATACATGTCACCTCAGGAAGAGAAGTGGAGAGAAAATTTCTCAATGGCTTAAATGACTGCTTCTTGGAGCAGCTGGTGCAGGAACCCACAAGGGGAGAGGCAATTCTCGATTTAGTCCTGAGTGGAGCACAGGATCAGGTCCAGGAAATAACTGTTACAGGACCGCTTGGGAATAGGGACCATAATATAATAACATTCAACATTCCTGTGGTGGGAAGAACACCTCAGCAGTTCAGCACCCTGGCATTTAATTTCAAAAAGGGGAATTACACAAAAATGAGGAGGTTAGTTAAACAGAAATTAAAAGGCACAGTGACTAGAGCCAAATCCCTGAAAGCTGCATGGAAACCTTTTAAAGACACCATAATAGAGGCCCAACTTAAATGTATACCCCAAATTAAAAAACATACCAAGAGACCTAAAAAAGAGTCACCGTGGCTTAACCACCATGTAAAAAAACTCAGCTAGCCCTCTGAGGCATAATACATAGCAGCTTAGGGCACCTGAAAATTTGGGGTACCAGTGCGTTTTGTGTCTGTCCATCTGATTCTTCCTCTCCTTGTTCTGTGGCTTTGCCTCCTCCTGAGAGGATCTGGTTACCAGAGAATTGGAGAAACCTGCCTGAGCCATTAGCAAAACACCAAACTTGAGAAAGCGCCATTCAAGTAGTAATAAAGCCATTTAATGGGCACATGCCAGCCACAGGTACATAGTCAGCTTCTGAATTTACTGTGTGAGTCGACAGGACCTTACTTTAAAATTTGCTTTAAAAATATTAAATCAGTGGGATGCTGAATATTATAAAAGCACATCTCTGAAAAACCGTCCTCTTCCCACTCCTCACAGCTGCCATCGGCCAGCAGTTAATTCTAGAATCACAGAATACTAGGACTGGAAGGGACCTCGAGTGGTCATCGAGTGGCAGAGAGAATAGATCCCAGATCTCCTGCCAGCCAAGGAGCTGCACAGGCAGGCAGGGACAGAGGCAATGATACAGAAGAGAAGTTGCTAGTGTTGTTACGAGCCATCGGTACAGACAGATAGAAGCAGGATCTTGTCTCAGAAACCAGTACAGAGGCAGACGGATGTCCATGTGGTGTGGCAATGGAATATGACATATGACCTGCCATGCAGGATACTGAATCACTGGATGTCATTTCCCCAGAATGTGATTTTCAGGCACTTTTGATATTTTAGCATTTTAGTTTGATGCCCGTGTCCAGAGCCTGCTGTTCAGAGGAAGAGGGGATCTGTCCCAGCTAGAGCAGTTGTGTTGGGATTGTGCTTTGCTCCAGCCTTCACACCACATTTTATCCAGCCATGTCCTGACCCCGATCCTCAGATGGTGCAAACGGATACAGCTCCATGGACTGAACGGGAGCCAGGCCAATAGACACCTGTGTGGTAACTCATCACCCCACTGAGTCGCTGGGAAGGGCGCTGTGCATCATGGACACCTACATCACAAGAGATCACTGTGGGGAATAGGGGCCGTTCTATGTATCTCTCGAATCCCCACTCCTGTCTGTGCCCTTCTCTCCGCAGCCACCACACTGTGAACCGAAGAAGAAAATGTCCAACCGAAGTACTGTGACCGAATTCCTTCTCCGGGGGTTTTCTGATGTCCGGGAGCTGCAGGTTTTGCACTTTGTGGTGTTCTTGGTGCTTTACCTGACAACCCTGATGGGGAATCTTCTCATCATCTCAGCCATTGTCTTTGACCATCGTCTTCACACCCCCATGTATTTCTTCCTGGGGAATCTGGCCATTATTGACCTTGGCTCCATCTCTGTCACCGTCCCCAAATCCATGACCAACTCCCTCCTGAACACTACAGTGATTTCTTATGCTGGGTGTGTCACGCAAGTCTTTCTCTATTTCATCTTTGGTGCAACTGATGTTTCCTTGCTCACCATCATGGCCTATGACCGGTACATCGCCATCTGCCAGCCGCTGCACTATGAGAGAGTAATGAACAGGAGAGCTTGTGTCCACATGGCCACAAGTGCCTGGATCACTGGTATTGTGTACTCTGCCCTGCACACTGGGAACACCTTCAGATTACTCTTCTGTCAGTCCAACGTCATTAACCAGTTCTTCTGTGAAATCCCCGCGCTACTGAAACTGGCCTGCTCTGACTCCTATAGCAATGAAGTTGGTGTCCTTGCCTTTAGTGTGTTTGTAGCTTTGAATTGCTTTGCTTTAATCATTGTGTCGTATGTTCAGATCTTCAAAGCAGTGCTAAGAATCCCCTCGGAGCAGGGTCGGCACAAAGCCTTCTCCACCTGCCTCCCCCACCTCGCTGTGGTCTCCTTGTTTCTTTGTACTGGGTCCTTTGCCTACCTGAAACCCACCTCTAGCTCAGAATCAAATCTGGATCTTTTGGTGGGTGTTCTCTATATCGTGGTGCCTCCCATGATGAATCCGGTCATCTACAGTATGAGGAACAAGGAGATCAAAACTGCATTGAAGAAACTTATTGCGTGTAGGGTATTCTCCAAGAATTAAATGGTCATTGATCGTTGACTCTCTGTTTTCATTTTGTGTGTCTTTATCAATATAATCAGCTGATAAAAAAAAGTTATGTCATTGAGACCATTGGCCACAATCTTTTTATGAAGTTATAAAATCACGGTTCACTCAACTGATATCAATTTAGAATTACACTGATATAAATGAGATCAAAGTCAAGGTATGACCATAATTCTTAGGCCACCTGTCTTAGGGCAGGTCTACACTGCAGGCTTATTTCGGAATAAGCTATTTTGGAGGAAATGGATTATTTGGAAATAGCGTGTCTACATAGCAAATGCCCATCTATCTTTCAAAATAGAAGCCTCCACACTCATTGGACACTGAATTGCATGTAAGGCCACCGGGAAGCACTTCAGGTAAGGCATCAGGGCAGCCCTCTCATCCTGGAGTTCTTATCTGTCATGGTACACCTCCAGCTGTAGTTTCTGCAGGCTGCCTTCATGGCCCTGCAGAAGGAGGACCCCTAGCTCATTCTGGGGCAATTCCTCACCCATTTCCGGGCGCTGCTCATGGAACTCGACCCCACGCACCCTTCCGTGCACATTGTGCACCGCCGCTTCTGGCAAATGGACACCGGATTTGACTGGTGAGACCAGATCATCCTAGAGGGGTGGGGTAGCCAGCAGTGGCTCCAGAATTTCCTTAGGTGGAAGGACACCTTTCTGGAGCTATGTGAGTGCCCCACCCCTGCCGTCTTTCTTCATATGGGACCAGTTCCAAACCCCTAATCATTTTTGTTGCCCTTTTCTGAACCTTTTCCAATGCCAAGAAATCGTTTTTGAGATGAAGTGACCACATCCGTACACAGTATTCGAGATGTGGGTGTACCGTGGATTTATATAAAGGCAATAACATGTTCTTTGTCTTATTCTCTATCCCATTTTTAATGATTCCTAACATTCTATGTACCTTCTTTGAAAACATCCACTCATTGTGCAGCGGCAGTCAGAGAACTCTCCACAATGACTCCAAGATCTCTCTCTTGCGTAGTTGTAGCTAAATTAGTCCCCATCATATTGTATGTATAGTTGGGATTATTTTTTTCAAATGTACATTACTTTACATTTATCAACATTAAATTTCATTTGCCATTTTGTTGTCCAACTACTTAGTTTGGTGAGATCTTTTTGAAGCTCTTCACAGTCTGCGTTGGTCTTAACTATTGTGAGCAGTTTAGTAACATCTGCAAATTTTGTCATCTCACTGTTTACCCCTTTCTGTAGATCATTTATAAATAAGTTGAATAGGATTGGTCCCAGTAGAGATCGTTTGGGGACCTCATTAGTTACCTCACTCCATTCGTAAAACTGACCATTTTTTCCTACCCTTTGTTTCCTGTCTTTCAAGCATTTACAAATCCATGAAAAAACCTTCTTTCTTATCCAATGACAACTTATTTTGCTTAAGAACCTTTGGTGAGAGATCTTGTCATAGAATCATAGAATCATGGAGCTGAAAGAGACCTCAGGAGGTCATCAAGTCCAGCCCCCTGCCCAAGGCAGAATCAATCCCAACTAAATCAACCCAGACAGTGCTTTGACAAGCTGAGACTTAACAACCTCCAGGGATGGAGATTCCACCACCACTGCTATCAAATCCCCTCTCACTCTTCTCTTCTGCAGACTAAATGAGCCTAAATCCCTCAGCCTCACCTCATAGGTCATGCACTCCAGCCCCCTAATCATTTTGGTCACCCTCTGCTGGATCCTCTCCAATGCATCCATATCCTTCCTACAGTGGGGGCCCAGAACTGGACACGCCACTCCAGATGGGGCCTCACCAGAGCCGAATAAAGGGGATTAGTCACTTCTCTAGATATACTGGAAATGCTCTTGTCGAATGATTTCTGGAAATCTAAGTATACTATATTCACTAGATCCTCATTGTCTACATATTTGTTGACCCTCTCAAAGAACTCAAGCTTAAGGGCTACGTCTACACTGGCATGATTTTCCGAAAATGCTTTTAATGGAAAAGGCTATGCCTACACTGGCATGATTTTCCGAAAGTGCTTTTAACGGAAAAGTTTTCTGTTAAAAGCATTTTTGGAAAAGCACATCTAAATTGGCAGGATGCTTTTCTGCAAAAGCACTTTTTGCAGAAAAGCGTGCGTGGCCAATCTAGACGTGGTTTTCCGCAAAAAAGCCCCAATCGCCATTTTTGAGATCGGGGCTTTTTTGTGGAAAACAGTACTGTGCTGTTTACACTGGCCCTCTTGCGCAAATGATTTGCGCAAGAGGGCTTTTGCCCAAACGGGAGCAGCACATATTTCCACAAGAACACTGATGATCTTACATGAGATTGTCAGTGTTCTTGAGGAAATTCAAATGGCCAGTGTAGACAGCTGGCAAGTTTTTCCACAAAAGCAGATGATTTTGCGGAAAACCTTGCCAGTCTAGACACAGCCAAGCAGATTAGTATGACGTGATCCCTTTACAGAAACCATGTTGACTGTCCCCCAACAGAAAGCCCTGTTGGGGAATGGGTCAAATTGAACATAAGAATATAAGAATGGCTGTACTGGGTCAGACCAAAGGTCCATCTAGCCCAGTAGCCTATCTGCCAACAGTGGCCAACACCAGGTGCCCCAGAGTGGGTGGACCGAAGACAATGATCAAGCGATTTGTCTCGTGCCATCCATCTCCAGCCTCTCACAAACGGAGGCCAGGGACATCATTTCTATCCCCTGGCTAATAGCCTTTTATGGGCCTAACGTCCATGAAATTATCTAGCTTCTCTCTAAACTCTGTTATAGTCCTAGCCTTCACAGCCTCCTCTGGCAAGGAGTTCCACAGGTTGACTATGTGCTGTGTGAAGAAGAACATTTGCTTATTAGTTTTAAACCTGCTACCCATTAATTTAATTTGGTGTCCTCTAGTTCTTCTATTATGGGAACTAATAAATAGCTTTTCTTTATTCACCCTCTCCACACCACTCATGATTTTACATACTTCTATCATATCCCCCCTTAGTCTCTGTCACCGTCCCCAAATCCATAGTCAACTCCCTCCTCAACACCAGGGTAATTTCTTATGCTGTGTGTGCCACCCAAGTCTTTCTCTTTTTCATCTTCACTGCAACCGATGTTTTCTTACTCAATATCATGGCCTACGACCGATACATCACCTTCTGCCAGCCCCTGCACTATGAGAGAGAGATGAACAGGGGAGCTTGTGTCCAAATGGCAGCCAATGCCTGGATCACTAGTCTTGTCTATTCTGCCCTGTACGCTGGGAGCACCTTCAGTTTACCCTTCTGCCAGTCTAACGTCATCAACCAGTTCTGTGAAATACCCCAGCTCCTCAAGCTGGCCTGCTCTGACTTCTACCTTACTGAATTTGGGCATCTTGCCTTTAGTGCATCTTTAGCTGTGAGTTGCTTTATTTTTATCATTGTGTCTCATGTTCAGATCTTCAGAGCGGTGCTGAGAATCCCCTCGGAGCAGGTCCGGCACAAAGCCTTCTCCACCTGCCTCCCCCACCTCACTGTGATCTCCTTGTTACTTTGCACTGGATGCTTTGAGTACCTGAAACCCAACCCCAGCTGGATCTCTTGGTGGGTGTTCTCTATGCTGTGGTGCCTCCCATGATGAATCCGGTCATCTACAGCCTGAGGAACAAGGAGATCAAAGATGCATTGAAGAAACTTATTGTTTGGGTGATGTTGATCAAGAAATAAAATGTCTGTGATTTCATTTTGCATTCCTTTATACATATAATCAACTGATGACAAAGTTATCTTCTTGAGAACATGGGCTGCAATCTCTTTATGAATTCATAAAATTAAGAGTAACTCCAATGCCATTAACTGAGTTACTTTAGAATTACACCTGTATAAAGAAATCAAAGTCAGTGTATATCCATAAATCTACGTATACCTCTCTGTCTTTGGGATTCATACTGTGAATCTCATCATGCTATCAAAGAATGTTATATGGAATATCAAAAACCAGAGCAAAATTACTGGTGGACTTCATGAAGTCCCTGACTCTTCTCCTTTTGGGGGTTGGAGTATAAGAGTGTATTTCCTTCATTGTTTCTTTTTAATTTTGTTTTATTTTATGGAAACATTTGTTGACACGTTTCATTATTATTCTCGTTATTTTTAATTACACATTAAATCATGGTTGTGCCTATTACATACCAATTTAAAACCCAGTACTGACAGTGTAAAGAGTTGAACAGGTTGGCAAGTCTGCCTCCAAAGATGCACTTCCCTCTCTTCATTAGGTGGATCCCGTCTCTTCCTAGCAATCCTTGTGTCAAGAACAACATCCTATGGTCAAAGAGTCCCTCTCTCCAACACCACCTTCACAACTCTGCATTTACTTCCAAAACGTAACGATCCCTATCTGGACCTTCTCCGTCAACGGGGAGGATGGACGAGAATACCACGTGCGCCTCGGACTCTGGAGCAGGAGCAGACCCGTGGGTGCTGTTTTCATGTTTCCATGATCCCACTGGTAGCCAATGGGTGCCACTCTGACAGGGGTCAAGGGTGGGTGTGGGGGTGCCCTGTTGATGTGGAGTGGGTGGGTGGGTACCCTGCTAAGGTGGGCCAGAAAGTGGGCACCCCTGGGCGCCATGTTCCTGTGGATCAGGCGCGGGCATGGGGGTGCCCCCTGGGCGTGGGCCAGGGAGCGGCCGTGCGGGGGCCCTTGTGACAGGGCTCTCCCACGGACACCCCCTATTGGCCAGACCCTGCCCCTCCCCCACACTGCCTTGCCCCTCCCCCACCCCCTTGTCTGTGGTGGAAGCCAAGGAAGAACAATCGGACCCAACCATTTCCACAGATGGGGGGGGGGGGGTTGTGTTTAAACAG